ATCATATATGATATAGCTAACCTATGAGACCGCTGATGTTTAGTAATATATATATTTTTTCCCTCGCAAAGAAAAGTAATGTACTTATTTTAAATACACCTGATCAAACGCCTAACTGGACATTTTTTGGCCGGCCCGAACCTCACCTAAGGTCCGTGGGTTGAGTTGGATCACATTGTTTCTCTAGTTTTTTTCTCCTATATATGTTAGGTTGGGTTCTTTTTTCGGGTTGGGTCGGGGAATGATTATTGCGGGTCAAAAAAAAAAAAAGGCCCAAACCCACCAATATGCTGATTGGGTCGGGTTCTTTTAGGGTGGTCTTTTCGGGCAGATTATTTCTCTAGTTTCTGACGTTGGACAATTTCAGTATCATCGAAGCTTGAAGGACCGAATCCACTCCAAACATTTTTACCCCATTTTCCAGGCAAAGTGACTGTCAAGCAAGTCCGCGTTTTTTACTTTAAAAAATTATCCGTCCGGCATCAGGCAGGCAGGCAGCTGTGCCCTCTGCTTGAACACGACCGGTATTCGTATTTTTTTTCCTTGCTCTCGCCTCTATATACCTACCTCTCCTGCTGGTGCTCCTCACGCTATATAAAATAATAACATTCATGATATCACATAAATAACATTAGATTCTTCATTAATTATATTTTTATAGTATACCTTTAATGTCATAAATCTTTGTAATTCTTTCTATAATTTTGTTCGAACTTGAGATGTTTTAACTCTCAAAAAAAGTTATAATGATTTATAATAATTTGGAAGTGAGGGGGTACCTTCATTCTCTCCATAGTACCAAAGCAGACAAAACATGTACTCATGTGGAGGGCCATTGTGCAAAGTATAATAGTTGATAAAAAGTAGAAAGCGAAGTTTGTATGTTCCCCACTGAAGCACAATGCAAAGCGTTTTTCAAGAATCATTTTTGTGTGGCCAGTATCTTTTGTGTGTGCAAGATGAACATTGTTGTATTTCAGGGGCATCCAAATTATAGCTTCCTAATTCCATGGAAGCATGTGGAAGTATACATTTATTTTCTCTCGAAAGATTTTGAGTAATTAACTCGATATATAGCTGGGCCGACTACTGTCTCAAACAACCGTGTTGCATCGAAAAGTCAAATAACCGTGTTGCATCGGAAAGCGAACATCTAATGGTGACAGAAAGAAAATATACTCCTATTGAGATGTGTGATCTCTTAGTTTCTTCTGTACTGGCATCCAGCTCTGGTACTGCCGCCTTGCTTGTTCGTCTTCCCCGTGGACTATAAAAGTCAAATAACCGTGTTCGCCTTGCTTATTCCGTCCACTGCGGCCGCGAGGAAATTCTCCCCCGGCCATCTCCACACCATGAACAGCCCCGTTCCGTTCTCGTTGCGTTTTGAGGCCGCGAGGAGCTTCTTTAACTGACCAAGGTACGGTTCGTTCCTGTATATATGTGTGTGTGTCGTCTTTCTTTCTTTCCTTCTAAATCTACTTCTTGAAATTTGGAACTGTTTTAGGCTACTACTATGTGCGAACATCAGCTTTCCTTGCTACAAGCGCATCTGGTATCGTATATTGATGAAATTTGGAACTGTTTTATAGTCTACTACTGCCAACATAAGACTTGGGTAGTTCGGTTCAACTTGCCCCCATTGAAACGCAGCAGGAATCGTTGAGAGATTCCACAGTAACCAGATTATTTTCACAAAAAAAATATAGAAAACAACAAAAATTACTGCATTTCAAGGTAAAAATTCTCGAAGTTTTTTTTCCAAACAAAATTAAAAAAATACAGGAAACTTACATATATTATCCCCTGAAACCATCCAACATCACATGGTGACGAAAATCGCATGAAAATGGAATTCACACCTTCTATGGTGGGGAGTTGATTGCTTGGTTTTTTACTCTCATACATGTTTCCTTATCTTTGAATAATAAAAAATTCTGGCTTCATTTCTCTATATTGCTAAGTTAGTTGATAATGTGGAGGAACACGAGAGATGATCTCATAGGTCGTCTCATCTGAGTTTTTTTGCTATTTGGTTCTTTTTTTAAAATAAAATTACGTTTGCCTTTCTGGGAGACATAAACTCATCTTTGGACCCTGGGGGTCGGCGCCAGGACTCATGGCTCCGAGGTAACACGTCTCGGCGCCATAGATCTTCCGAAGTGCCTGGCCATGCACAGCAGGACATCCTAAGTGGCGTTGACGTAGCCGGTACCTCGGAGCCACAGATCTTGGCTCCGAGCTCGATGCCAAGATCTGTGGCTCCGATATCGGAGTCGTGGATCTCGGCTCTGAGCTCGGAGCCATGGATGCTGACGCCGAGCATGAATTCAACGTTATCTAGTACGAGTAGTTTTATGTTTCAGCGTTATCTAGTACTAGTAGTTTTACTGCACAAGAATCTCCTTCTCAGGCCTCGTGAAGCTCTTTGTTATCATTTCTCTTTTTGAGATGACGTGATTGCAGGTTGTGTATCCACCGGCCATGGACGATTGCAACTAGTATAACAATACTACTACTAGTATGCTTCCCTAAAAAAAAAATACTAGTACAGTACGCACCAAGCGCTGAAAGGACGAGTATAACATGTTCCTACGTACGTTATAATACAACATATATAACTTGTGCTTTGAAGGTTTATTCAACAATCGTGTTATCTATCCTAATATAACTTGTTATCTGACTTAATATTATAGGTTATTCGAATGGTATTGAAAACATAGTGTGGTAGTATTAGATTTGGATTGAGAATATGTTGATGACAAGAATGAGATGTTGGTGGCGAGGAGTGATGTGCGAGGGAATACACTGATGGATCTCATTCTTCAGCCTGTTCGTTTCGACTTATTCGCTCGTATCTGGCTTATAATCCACGGTTTAAACAGTATTTTTTTCTCATATCAAACCAGCCAGCAGTACTTTCAGTCATGGCTTATAAGTTAATTCAACCGAAACGAACAGTCTCAGTATCTCCGCGGGCCGAAAGGCCGGCCGGGCAGCCAGCTTGCCACAATGCCACTGCCCGCCGGGGCTCACCGCGGGGCCCGCTACACCTCGCCCTCGCCCGTACCGGGGACGGGGAGCTAGCGCAAAGTTGAGCCCGTACCGTCGCAGTCGTGTAGTACGACCGACGCGATCTTTGGAGTGTCCCGTCACGTACTCCTTCCGTCAGGACGCGCAGGGCCGGCCGCCGGATTCCTCCCCACCGTCCCTGTCACAACCACTTTTTGTCTCCCTTGTCCCTTGTCTCTTCGTGGAAAAAACCGGAAACCTGACCGTGTTCAAGATAAGGCTCATTGCAGGTTGTGACTTCTACTCTACGCGGAGTACTCCAACAGTGATCTGTAAAGTGACTGCACTGACCTTTTGGCGGCCGGGTCTTCGTGTGAGTTACTGCCGGCAAAAGATTCTTCACGAATCCATTCTTCCTCAGGCCCTCAGAGTCATTCTTAGGTTGCGTATAGGTAGTAAAATTTGGGAATTTGGCTACGGTAACACTTTCATTTTTATTTAGCAATTAGTGTTTAATTATGGACTAATTAGACTCAAAACGTTCGTCTCGCGATTTCCAACTAAACTGTGCAATTAGTTTTTTTTCGTCTACATTTAATGCTCCATGTACGTATCGTAAGATTTTATGTAATAGCTACTGTAGCATTTTTTGGAAAACTTTTTGAACTAAACATAGCGTTAGGACCGCTGTTTTCTACTTCCTAGATACCGCTGTCTTTTTAATTTAACGAAGCCTTAGGTACCGCTGTTTCGCCTGAACTAGTACTAGACTACTCCTAGAAAGCACGCAAGCGCATCCAAATTTTAACCACATTGCTTAACTGCCTCTGAGGCTCTGACCGAGCTGTAAGGCACTTCCTAGAATAAAAACACATGGGAAGAAGAGCTATAGCTGACAGCCCATTTGTTCGGCCGCGTCCGCTCGGCAACGGCAAGCAATCCCGGGCGTGCTTTGCTTCCTCAACAAACAGGGCGCACCCGCCGCAGCAACGATCATATGGTCAGAACCAGTGTGTCGCGTCGCTTCGTCTCGCTGAAACATAAAACTACTCGTACTAGATAACGCTGAATCCATGCTCGGCGCCAGGATTCATGGCTCCGAGGTTAGAGCCACAGATCTTGGTACCGACCACGTCACCTAGGATGTCCTGCTGTACACGGCCAAACACCTCGAAGACAAAATCTGTGACGTCGAGACGTGTTATCTCAGAGCCATGAGTCCTGGCCGCCCCCCAGGGTTCAAAAATGAGTTTACGCCTCCTAGAGGGCTAAACGTATTTTTTTTAAAAAAGGATCAAATTATAAAAAATTGGGTCGTCTCATACAATGCGATCATGTGAGATCGAGAGGGAGATGAGAGAAGAAATTTGTTTTCCAAAACAACTACCTCGTAAGCTGAACTTTAAGACTACTGGGACAACTGCTGCATTAGTGTAAAGGTTGTTGTTACCATGCATTTCACAATATTATTATTTATATTCTGTGTACAAACAAAGAAATTGACTACTCAATATTATGTGGCACGGTACGAGACCGCCTATTAGACAACGTCAATTACTCGCCACTGGTCTCCAATCATTACAACTACAGCCAAAGATAACAGAAACAACATTATTGTTGAATGCAAAAAAAAAAGTCCGAAAATTTCTCAAAAGTGTAAATGTTCATGGGCGCCTATGCTTTCCCTCCCAAGGATCCTTGCCCCCGTCTTTTCTCCATGGATCCATTCACAGACGATTACTCCCCGCAACTGGAATTCAGTTGATCCATTCACAGACGATTACTCCCCACAACTTTGCTTCGTATTGTTCTGCACAGATGATCCCCTTAGGATGTAATTATTTTTAATCAAATCTGGCTCTTTCACTCCCAGGTGTACTCAAATTCGCCCAGGATTAATCCCTTTCTGATGTGTGATGTGAAGCCATCCGGAGCAACAATTGCTGTTCTTCCGCAACCATTTGCAGTTTCGACGGCAAGAAGCAACATCCATGGGCACCGCTCGCATGGCGGCCCCGGTCGCTATGCTCCTGCTGCTGCATCACCTTGCGTGTGCAGTTGCTGCTGGGACCGAAGCCGAGGCAGCTGCACTGCTCGCATTCAAGATCGCCTCCGTGACCGCCGACCCAGGCGGCCGGCTCGTGAGCTGGGCAGAGGTCAACTCCACCTCTGGCACCAGCTCGCCGTGCAAGTGGACCGGTGTCTCGTGCACAGATGGCCATGTCCATATGCTCAATCTCAGTGGCATGTCCCTCGTCGGCTGCCTCCACCTCGACCCGTTGCTCGCTCTACCCGCACTCCGGACCATCCTCCTCCGTGGCAATGCCTTCCATGGCAACCTCACGAATGGCGCCTCACAGCGACAGACATCGCCACCATGCATGCTCATGGACGTGGACCTGTCATCGAATGCCTTCAACGGAACGCTGCCGCAGGCGTTCCTGGAGTCCTGCAGCAACCTGCAGCTGCTGAACTTGTCCAGGAACACCCTTACCGGTGGGGTTTTCCATTCCCACCATCGCTGCAGACGCTTGACATGTCCAGGAACAAGCTGTCAGATGCCGGATTGCTGAACTACTCCTGGCTGCCTGCCATGGTATTCAGTTCCTCAACCTCTCAGCCAACCAGCTCATGGGAGGCCTCCTAGAGTTTGCGCGGTGCAGCCAGGTTTCTGTTCTTGACTTGTCAGGGAACCTCATGTCTGGTGCCCTCCCTGGAAGGCTTTTTGGTGACGGCGCCAACCAATCTGACACACTTGAGCATTGCTGGTAACAACATCTCCGGGGACATCTCCAAGTATGAGTTTGGTGGCTGCCCAAATCTCAGGGTGCTCGATTGGTCATACAACAGACTGAGTGCCATGGGGTTGCCACCAAGTCTTGCCAATTGCCGTCGCCTGAAGACAATTGACATGTCTGGGAACAAGCTTTTGTCAGGTTCAATACCAGAGTTCCTGGGGGCTTCCATGCTTTGCGCCGACTCGCGCTGGCTAGGAACAACTTCACTGCAGAAATACCGGATAAGCTGAGCCTCTTGTGCAGAATCGGAATGCTGGTTGAACTAGACTTATCAAGCAACCAACTGATTGGCAGTCTGCCAGCAAGCTTCTCAAGCTGCAGATCACTTGAGGTGCTTGATCTCGGCAGCAACCAACTCTTTGGTGACTTTGTGGTTACTGTCATCAGCAAAATGTCTTCTCTGCGTGTGCTGAGACTGCCATTCAACAATATCAATGGGACAAATCCTCTGCCGGCACTAGCAGCTGGCTGCCCTTTGCTTGAAGTTATTGATCTTGGCTCTAATCTGCTGGAAGGGGAGATCATGCCTGACTTGTGCTCATCTTTACCATCACTAAGAAAGCTGCTCCTCCCAGACAATTATTTCAGTGGAACTGTGCCACTGTCACTTGGCAACTGCAGCAATCTGGAGTCACTGGACCTCAGCTTCAACCTTTTGGTTGGTCACATTCCATCTCAAGTAATATTGCTTCCTAAGCTTGCCGATTTGGTCATGTGGGCAAACAATCTCTCTGGCGAAATACCAGATGTTGTATGCTCCAATAGCACAAGATTGGAGACACTAGTGATAAGTTACAACAACTTCACTGGAGTCCTCCCTCCATCCATTACAAGCTGCGTGAATCTCATATGGTTGTCTCTTGCAGGCAACAGTCTTACTGGGAATGTGCCCTCAGGCTTTGGCAACCTCCAGAAGCTTGCCATTCTACAGCTGCATAAAAATTTACTCTCTGGCCCAGTTCCAACAGAGCTTGGTTACTGTAGCGACCTCATCTGGCTTGATCTTAACAACAACTTCTTCTCCGGTGCAATACCACCGCAGTTAGCAGCACAGACAGGACTTGTCACTGGAGGTATTCTTTCTGGGAAGCAGTTTGCATACCTAAGGAATGAGGCTGGCAACATCTGCCCTGGTGCCGGAGTGCTGTTTGAGTTCTTTGACATCCGTCCAGAGCGGCTGGCACAGTTCCCGGCTGTGCACTCATGTGGCTCCACGAGGATATACACTGGGGTGATAGCATACACCTTCAATAAAAGTGGAAGCATGATCGTCCTTGATCTATCATACAACAGATTTACAGGTACAATTCCGGCAAGCTTGGGGAACATGACATATCTTACTGTCCTTAACTTGGGACACAATGACCTTACTGGCGCAATTCCAGATGCATTCATGGGGTTGAGGGCGATTGGTGTAATGGACCTCTCACATAATCACCTCACAGGTGGCATCCCTGCTGGACTTGGGTCTTTAAGTTTCCTTGCAGACTTTGATGTCTCTAACAACAACCTGACTGGTGAAATCCCGATATCTGGGCAGCTCATTACATTCCCAGCATCCCGCTTCGCAAACAACTCTGGCCTCTGTGGCATCCTCTTGGATCGTTGCATGCCCAATACCAGCCCTGGACTCATGCCCCAGTATTTTCCTGATCAGAAGTCGCCTCTTGTCTTTCAAGCTGGGTTTGGTGAAGGCTTCGGATTTGGCTTCGTTATAGCTATTGGTTTAGTGACCTTGCTCCAGTTCAAGTATGAACAGTGTTCATGTTCTATGCCAATGTGGTAACAATGTGCAGAGCTGCCGATGTAACTCAAACAAAAGATGTTGTATGCACTTAACCTAGTAATAACAAAATCACTCAAAGCGCCGCCTTGGAACGAATTTCAGCTGCGGACCTGGGCACCACCGCCCAGCGGCAGACCTAGAAAAAATATATTGGTGTGGCGAACTTTAGCTGAAGCTAAAAAAAATCGTAGGCACATTGCAATCGCACAAATTAGACGATACCTTTAGTTTCAAGAATAAATACTGTTCTTGCACCAAACCATTCAAAATACATAAAAAAATAAATAAATAAAATTGACCAACCTGAAAATTTATAATGATCAATGAGTAAGCTATAATGAAATTATCATATGGCTTGAGCATTGATGAACTTAACAAGAATAGAAGTATACCGCTAGTAAAGCAAGCACGTCGTCGAGTCGCTAAGCACGGAGCAGACAGAAAGAAGGCGCCGCTCTGGCCGCTTCCCAGCGGCCGTTGGGCTGCTTCCCCCTGCCGCTGGCATTGAGCCACACGCCGGCTACCGCTGGGCGCCTAGCCGGCCAGGCCACCTGCCAAGACTACGGGGCGGCAGGGGGCCGAAGTGGCTGCGCCACGCTGGGCTTCGCCCGTCTTCCTGCTGTCGATCTAACCTCGGGGGAGTCACAGGCGATTCGGGGTGTTGGATCTGGCCTGCGGCTGCCATCAGGATTCAGGCCACCTCTGCTAGGGCTTGGATTTCGCATGTCGCATGGCGAGAGAGGGAGGAAGACGAGCGCTTTCCAGACGCGGAGCACGACAGAAGGGCGGTTTCCGTGTCTCCGCCTGTTCGCGTGGGCTTCGGCCTGTGGGGGCATGAGCCTCTTTAACGTTGGGTTGTGGGCTGTGGGCTGTGGGTTGTGGCCCAATTCAATTGTTATAACTTAAATTACAAAAAGAAAAAAAGTTTAATTTACTTTGCTCAATGCGACAGTCACCCGAATTTTCTCCTTAAACTACAAAACCAGTTCGTTAACCCCCTCCGTCAAGTTCGAAAACTATCTGCTTTTTCCACAGCAGGTGATTTTGATGGTGTTGCTGAGGTGGCGCCATGCCGGAGAAAGGGAAGCCGGACTAAGCCGGGAAGTTCGTGAAGGTAATCGAACTATAAATATTTAAAAAGTATATCAAAAAATTCATAAAAATAAGTTTTAGAAAATTGCATGAAAAATAATGCATTTTAAGGATTTTCTATTGCAATTTAAAAAAATATCCAAATACTATTTACATGATAATAATAATATATGTTTAAAAAATATATCCAAATATTATTACATGATGATAATATATAAATGATATGATACGCAGAGCACAGCGGCAGGCAGCAGCAGGACACAATGCAAAGAGTAGTATACTAGTACCAGCAGCTATCTATCTGTCTGCTGCTGCATGCAGAAGGAGAAGATCCGTGCAAGGAAGTTGAGAAGCAGGAAGCCGCCCATGATGCCCGCAAATACCGGCAGTCCAGGACCGACGTGGCCCCAGTCCATGACGAGCACCACCATCTGGAAGACGGCCATCCCGACGAGCGCGACGCCGGCACACAGTTTCAGAGCCTCCTTACTCCCAGTGCATCTCCATCGTCGGCCGGTGGTGGTTCAGATGATATTATTGCTGCCTTTGTTCCCCTGATTGCCCGCCTGCTCGTCGTTGCACTCCTCCTGTTCCTGATGGGTTGTTGTCTACATCCTCCTCCTCCAGAGCCAATTAGCCATATATATAGCCAGCCAGCCAACGATGCCGGCCGGACCTGAATTTCCATACACAGGTTCGTCGGCCTTGCAAAATTAAATGACTTCTTTCGTGGACTACTAAAAAGGAAAAAAACTCAAGGAAGAGAGGAAGTTTCTGCTACAGCATGCTTGTGTTATTTGTGCCACGTGCGGAGTCTCGGCCTAGACAGTCTCCAACAGCCATGCGACCCAAAATACAAGACACATTTGTTATTCGGATAGCGCGTTACAGCGTTCAATACTTATTTTTCGTCTTCTCCAACAACAAGACCAAAAAAGACAACTCTTTCTACAAATAAGTCTCCAAGAGAGAGGATACTCAGATTTAGGTTATGCCTCTCCGGCATAAAAATGGGTCTTCCATATAAGTACTCTGTTGGAGGCTATATGTATTGTGATGAAGACTCATTTTGAGTTTGGGTTCATAATGGGTCTCCCGTTGGAGACAACCTTTAGAAAGGACGACACGGTACGACGCGCCTAGCACACCGTGCCACAGGATCAAATGAGCGGCAGGCCCTAACAAGCCCCGAAAGCTCCGGGTCCATTGAGCAACGATGCGCCCATGCGGAAACATGGACGGCCCAGAGGCGTAAGACCAATCTCGCAAGTTTCCTCTTTGGATGGATTTGGAATTGTCTTGTAATAAACTTTCCATATCTTCTTCTTACATTGTGCATGTGGTGTTCTTTCACCATGCGTTTGGTCAAGGGACGAGTGATACTCCCATCTCTCTCTTTTTTATTGGATTATCCTGTTTTATTTATGTTTGGTTGACGAAATGATTCATTCTTGTTTTGTGTTTGGTTCGAGGGATTTAGAGATATGGAGTGGATGTCGTTTTTCCTTCCATTACCAGTAGGGATGAAAACGGATCGGATACGAACGGATATCACTCATATTATATTTGTTTTCATATTTCTGTTCGGATTCGGATTCGGACACGGATAGCGTTCGGATACATATACGAATACGGATTGACTCAGTTACGGATACGAATAATGAGTATCGAATACGGTATGAATCGGATTCGGAGAAGGTCGGATACAAATATCTATTCGGATATTGAGTAAAAGCAAGATATATATATATATATATATATATATCGTATGTCATAAACCATTACACCACTCTATGAGTCCATAATCCATCTAGATTAAGCCGAAAGACTAAAGAGTAAAGCAACAAATAAGATAAAGATACAGATACATCATACATCAAACATCATATAAGCACCAATCTTCGCGGCATGAGTAGAAATAGCCAAGCACATTGCTTCATGGGTCTCATGGAGTCATGGTCATGGATTCAAGATCTACAATCCTTATATAGGCCATTTTTTCATTTTGAGAAAGTTTGAACAAAATGTAGTTCAAATTTCACAAGTGTGTGACATAGTTTTATAAAGTCTGTATGAGATTTAAGAATTTGTGACTAGTGTTTGATAAAACTTTCTCAAATGGGAAAATAAGCTATGTAACAATTGTATATCTTGCTGAGATGATCAAACTTGGTATTCAGAGTTTTTTCATCTGAGGTCATTTAGTGTCTCATTTGAGCAAGTTTGACCAAGTCAAATTTGGTCAAATGAAAAAACAACACTTTGACTCTAGTATTATGAACTCTAAATGACTTCAAATTGAAAAGTTTTGAATACCAAGTTTGTTCAACTCATCAAGATCTACAATTCTTGTTTTGGTCAACTTTCCATTTGAGATAGTTTGGACGGTTCAAATTTGTGATTTTTAAATTTCGATGCTTACAAACTAGTTTTCGGAACCCTAGATTGTCTCAAATTGAAAAGTTTTGAATACCAAGTTTGTTCATCTCATCAAGATCTACAATCCTTATATAGGCTATTTTTTCATTTGAGAAAGTTTGAACAAAATGTAGTTCAAACTTCACAAGTGTGTGACATAGTTTCGAGAAGTCTATATGAGATTCAAGAATTTGTGACTAGTGTTTGATAAAACTTTCTCAAATGGGAAAATGAGCTATGTAACAATTGTATATCTTGCTGAGATGATCAAACTTGGTATTCAGAGTTTTTCATCTGAGGTCATTTAGTGTCTCATTTGAGCAAGTTTGACCAAGTCAAATTTGGTCAAATGAAAAACAACACTTTGACTCTAGTATTATGAACTCTAAATGACTTCAAATTGAAAAGTTTTGAATACCAAGTTTGTTCAACTCATCAAGATCTACAATTTTTGTTTTGGTCAACTTTCCATTTGAGATAGTTTGGATGGTTCAAATTTGTGATTTTTAAATTTCGACGTTTACAAACTAGTTTTCGGAACCCTAGATTGTCTCAAATTGAAAAGTTTTGAATACCAAATTTGTTCATCTCATCAATATATACAATCCTTATATAGGCCATTTTTTCATTTGAGAAAGTTTGAACAAAATATAGTTCAAATTTCACAAGTGTGTGACATAGTTTCAGAAAGTCTATGAGATTTAAGAATTTATGACTAGTGTTTGATAAAACTTTCTCAAATGGGAAAATGAGCTATGTAACAATTGTAGATCTTGCTTAGATGATCAAACTTGGTATTCAGAGTTTTTTCATCTGAGGTCATTTAGTGTCTCATTTGAGCAAGTTTGACCAAGTCAAATTTGGTCAAATGAAAAAACAACACTTTGACTCTAGTATTATGAACTCTAAATGACTTCAAATTGAAAAGTTTTGAATACCAAGTTTGTTCAACTCATCAAGATCTACAATTGTTGTTTTGGTCAACTTTCCATTTGAGATAGTTTGGATGGTTCAAATTTGTGATTTTTAAATTTTGAATAAATATCCGGATAATATCCGTTTTTAAATATCCGGATATATCCGATACTTATCCGGATTATCCGATATCCGCCGGATATCGATGATATTACATCCGTATTTGATATCCGCCTAAGATATCCGTTTTAGTATCCGTATCCGAAAAAAAACCGGATATCCGAGTAACTATCCAGATAAGTGTTCATATTTGTTCGGTCGAACGGACGGTCGAATAAATATCCGTACCGTTTTCATCCATAATTACCAGCCGTTATGTGTGCATCCACCTATTGTCTATCGGTAATGCTAGGAATCATACGTCTGTCCGCAGCTCTGCGCCGGACGCCCCTATTGGTGGACCCGATGTCTAGAAGGCTGTCAATTCTATTTGTTCCTATACGCTCCCCTCCAGTCGTCCTCACAGATTAAAAAAACACGCATAGCTGTGACTGCACTCCGTGACAGCGCGCTCTGCCACACCTCCTACATGCCTTCCTCTCCACTGTCACCGCGGCCGGACCGCCATGGCGTGCCCCCTAACCAAGACAAATTTCCTACTATTCGCCGCGCGAGGTTGCACCCACCCAGCTATTGTTGCCGGCTCCACCGCGGGCACTGCGTGCGCCCCTATCGGTGGGGTTAGTGCCATTGCTCACCGGGGGCCACGTAGCCACCCCGCCGCTGTCATCCTCCTCTGCTCATGATCGCAGGCAACCGATCCCATGCGGTGCTCCGCCTACCGGTTGCTGTTCGGTTTCTTTGAAAGCGCATTGTTGCAATTGTATGTTTCAAATGTTTTAGTACGTTGGAAATGTTTTGGATGCATGTTGCAAAAGTAGATCAGGATGTTGCATATGTTTAAATGGTTGTAACGTATGTTGTAAAGGTCTGTTAACAATGTTTCATATGTGTTTTCGGACGTATGTTGCAAGTGTGTTTATCTAAATATTGCATATGTTTCACACATATGTTGCATGTGTTTTGTTTGGATGTTGCGTATGTTTGCAAAAGTTTTTCAAGTGTTTTCAGATGTTTTTTTCAAGTGTTCCAGAAGCTTGTTGCAAGTTTGTATTTCATTTGTTTTAGACATATGTTGCAAGTGTTTTATCTGAATGTTGCATATGTTGCAGTGGCTATACACATATGTTGCAAACATATGTCCAAGTGTTTTATCTATTTTATACGTATGTTGTAGCAAGCCCTCCATGTTGCAAGTGTTTCGTGAGGCACAGGCGGTCCCCATAGGGTGGGCGAGCGCCGGGGGGCGCAGCAGGGCAAGCAGACGTAGGCACGCAGCATGGCGCGGGCAAGCAACAGCAGGGCGAGCAGGGCGTGGCGAGCAGTAGGGCGAGCATCCATGCTCCGATACGCGTTCGTGAGTGGGGGCAACCAGAGGGAGCGCGTGGGAGACAACCACCTGACGCGGGACCCGTTACAGAGGCAGGGGTACTGGAGCGTTGCCGTTTTCCGCTGATCCATTTTGGCCGCTGGCAGGCCCAGCTGACAGCCGAGGGAGGTGGGCTCCACTAGCTGTCCGGGCCACACGCCGCGAGTGTGCAGGGGCGAGTGAGCCGCACCGGCGAGCACGCGCTGGGTAACCTAGGTTGAGCGGCGGGTGCAATGCTTCTGTCCGGACGCGAGCTTCTGTCCGGACGTCCGAGCGCTAGTAAACCCGATCATCTATAGACTCACCTATGTGTCACAATGCATCTATTTTTTTCCGTCGATTTTATCTTTTTCCACAAAGCGTCCACAGGGCCACTCGCTCACGGCACCTGCCAGCGAAGCTCCTTTCCCACAACGCCGCCCATGGAACTCCTCAGCCACGACACCTGCGGAGCTGGGCGACCAAGACGCCCGCTGGAGACGACACCGTAAGCTGTGCAAGAGGGATGCCGGGTTCCTTGGTTTCGGTGGGGGCGTATTTGCCTCGTATCTGAGATGAATATTTTGGTTGGGGGAAGATCGAGTGTCCTTCCCTCATCATCATCTCCAATCTAAATAAACAACGTCAACAAAAAAAAAGTATCATTCCATTCTATCCCGTCCGCACACTAATCCAAAGACATGCTTAGTTGGTTAATGTGCTAGCTTTTGAACGCTTCAAGTAGGTTGTACCGTTTCCCATCTATATTAGCCAGAAAGTAGCCGAAATTTCATTTCCAAAAAATCTTGTTTATTCATGCAAAGATGCAAATGGGATGTACAAATAGAAATGCTATACAACACACATGTGTTTTAGCATAAAAAAAACACATAGATTTTTTTGTATCTCTCACTCTCTCTTTCTCACCAGTGACCACCGACGGCGAATTTGTGATTTGTCCTTCCATAGAAAAAATTTGTTTTCTATGATCTGTGATTTGTGGATCTGTAATCTTGTGATTTGTGTTTGTCTGAAGATAGAAGAAGGCTGGAGGTAGAAAAAGGCTGGAGGCTGAAGATAGAAGAATGATGGAGGATGTTGAATCTTAATCTTATAATCAGAGGTGAAGCCACGTTGAGTTTGGGTGGTGCACTAGCACCAGGCAGGAAAAGAAATATTTACTACTAAATAGCTTATTTTGACCATATAAATCAGGTGAAAGTAAACATATTTTTATACTGTTGTTAATGTTGTGCACCACCGTAAGTTTTGTACTAGCTTCGCCCCTGCTTATGATGCAAAAAAAAAATCATGTGTTAAAATTACATAAAACACATGGTTGTGTAGTAGACAAACTCATCTACAAAAAGCAGATCCTTTAAGTTTTTCTTTCACAATGCGATCTAACTTCCTCCCCATCTCTTCGCTCATGTGATTCTGCCAATCACCTACCTTTCCTTTCCTAAAGTATGCTGAATTCTCAATAACCATGTTGCCGTGTCTAAAGTACTCTCCTGTTTTGTTGATATACAGGCTACTAAGCTTCTCAAAGTTGCACAACCTAACCATTTCCTCAGGTACCCCGTCCTCTTCTTCCTTGGTACAAAATGGGACACCAATGAATGCTGCGATCTTCATGACATATTTCACAGGATCTGACAGCATTTCTTCATACTTTAAGAAGAGTACCCTATCGGGCATCGCAATGCTCTCTCTCCAGTACTCAAGACAATGATCCCAAAAAGGCCCATAGCCAGAGAAACCTTCGGAGAACATGTTGAAAGCTGTTTTCAAATCAACACTATGTCGTCTATGAACCTTATTATCATAGCACCACCGAGACACGAATGCATCCTTAGGGTCTCGACAGATGTACACAACCCGACAACCACAACCACTAGTTATGGACTTTGGAAACAACGAAAGGGGCAAATGGGTGGCGAGAAGCCTTGGGGATGGTAGCGTCTCTAGGTATGTGAAGTCCATATTTCGAGGGATCTCTATGAATGGCACCACCTCCTGGGGATGGCGGAAGAGAAGAGGGTGGTTGTCAAAATCATACTGGAAGCGGTTGGTGACTGCGAAGGCGAGGGCCTTCAGCCATGTGGTGCCGCACTTGGGGTTGCTAGTGAGGATGATGTCATCGTGGCGAGGTTTGAAGCTATTTTGGAGGCGCAGTACGCTCTCCACGAAGTAGGGATGGAGCCAGTAGTTCTTGTAGAGCACAATCAGCTCCGACCACCCCTCTCTTGATGGGAGTTTGGATATAAGATCAGCAGTGCCACACTTGGGGTTGCTAGCATGGCTTTCCAATGCAATGGCTTCAGATGAGCTGTTCCTGGAGCTTCCATCCTCGGCTTGCTGTGGCATTGCTTAGCTACTTTGAAGTTTTTGCAGTCTCTCGCTGCTCGCTTGGATGGACTGGATGGGCGAAGGGAGGTGTGTAGATTGAGCTAGGCTCCTGCCTGGCTCACAGAGAGCATAAATAGCACAACGCATGTATATTCTACCGGAGATAGCGGAGGTAGGTGTGGCAAGTCGATCGTGATACACCTGCAGTTATGGGTCACTGATAGCCTCACAACTGCAGAGACTCATCGGCCGCTAGGTGTTGAATCTCCGTTGGGCAGAAGCATGCATATGATGCACACTGAAACGCTCAATCACCTCTGCCTACTCTCGCGCATCTTCGTTCCCAAAACCCAGAGTTTTCACCATCTAATCTCCCTGGAAAAACGAAGCTCACCTTGTATATTCCTGAAGAAAACGTCAACATACATATACAGACTTGGATAAATAATGTATACAGACCAAAATGTTTTATTTGCGAGGACATAGGAAGTACAGTCAAATTAGTTGCTTCTGGACACAAGGGACAATGACACATACATCGAGAGATCGAATACAATCTCTATGACATCGTCATTGCAATGCTGATAGAGCTATCACGACGAAGTGTCAGTGTAGTAATTCTTCGCTTTCATTGGAAGGAAATGGTGCTTTATTCGCCCTTGCTACGTAACTCAGTTGATTGGAAAAAACAAAACAAAACGAAGAAGGAATCGTATATCTCTCCATCCATAACGGAGGAAGAAGAGAAAAGGGAACAAGTAAGATAGAACCAGACTGCACGGAGCACTGTAGTAGTGCTTGCACGTGTTAAGGCTTTGAGCTAGGGGATTCATCATCCTAGCTTGGGCGATGGTGACCCCTTGTGGTGGGTGCACGGATTTGTACCATGGGATATATATGGTGAAAAATGAAGTATAATCATTTTTTTGCGTGGGTCTACTTGGGATTTTAGCCAAGAACAAGAGCTATCTCCGTGGTAACCCACTTCCCTTGGCATGTTTGTATGACTGGAATTTCAGTAAAAATAACACGTGTTAGTAAGGGTGTTGCAATTTTTTGTTTCATGACATGGCACCACAACAGAGTTGAAAATGAAAGATAATATCACATTCATGTCCTTAGGGTGTGTTTGGTTTCCGAACCATGTGGAATGAGTTGGACCTAGGTTGGGTTAGACGCATCTCATGTTTTGGTTCAAGAGATAGAGCCATTCCATTTTGTTTGGTGCGAGGGATGGAGTGGGTTAGGATGGATCTCATTGTCAACACCATTACCTGCTATGTACATGGGACCTAGCTGTCAGCCACTCCCTCACTTCTTCCACCTCTCGTAGTTCACCAAGCGCAAGCACCGCAGCCATTATGCTGGCCCACTGCGAGAGTGCTGCCCTGCCCTAGCGCCTTGTCCCGCGTTATCCCACCCCGGCAGCGAGCACCGCCCAGCACTATCCCACCCCAGTGGCTAGGCGCCGCCCTACGTTGCCCTACGCCGGCATCCGGCACATCCGGCCACCGTACCCTAGGCAGCCCTGCGCGCGGCCAGCCTCTGCATCCCACACCGCCCAGCGCTCCCTGCAGCCGCCCGCGTGCTGCCCACAATGCCAATGCAAGCGACGAAGAGAGGGAGCAGGACAAGAAACGGAGGTCGCGACGTCGTCCAAGTGGATCGAGCCGGTTTATCCGATTTGGAGAGACCAAATCAAGACACATTTACTGGGAATACTCCCTATGCAGGATGACTCCAACCTAAACACCTTTAAATCCGGGTCCGACCCATTCCATCCCACTCCAGCCCTCAAACCAAACGCACCCATTGAACATTGATGATCCTACTCATCAACACCACAGAAAGTGAGCTGCAAATTCGTCAAAACAATACTGTTAGCCTGATTTGGTAGATGAGATCCCATTAATAATGCATGAAGATTTTCAATGTAGTCGTCCTCTCTAGAGCCAAACACAATGCAGGAAGATTTCCAACGAGGACGCGTCTTGTGTCTGGTGGTGTCTCTGCCAGCAGCTATATTTGTCTATCTATATTTCTAGAAGAAAGCAGCAAAAATTGGACTTTTCAAATAAAGTTTGGCAATGGGTGATACTTGTTGATTCGATGCATACATGAAGAAAACAGTTGTGATCCAAGACAATACTTGTTCACATTATTATAGCACAAGTCTCGATCGATCGAGCGATCCGTCCATCTCTGTCTTGTCTTCCACGAGGCAATCTAACTTTGTCCCCATCATTCATGTGCCATTTTTTTTTGAACAAGTCATGTGCCATACTCCCTCCATCCTGACGATTTGTTGTGTGCAACTGTTGTGTAACTATTCCCTCTGCTTCAAATTATGACATTTTGCATTTTCTATGTTTGTAGTTTTTACTATGCATTTAGATATACACTATGTCTAGATTCATAATAAAAATAATATATCTACAAAAGCCAAAACGTCTTATAACCTGGAAATGAGGGTTGGAGTACTAATTAAGCTCCCAAGGAACCGTATCTTATTTTTCTTTGAGAGTGAACAAGACATATTTCACCATTTCTTTTAGTTCAAATAAAAACAACCCTAACAGCCTCGCAATGCTTTCCGATCTCTCTGATACTCGAGGCTCATGTGAAGGCCAAAAGGGTAACGAGGAAGAGTTTTTATTTTTTTAAAAAGTGAGAATTTCTTTGAACAAACTACTAGAAACGCAAGGTGTTTGTTGATTATGGGCTAGATAACCCATGTACCTTTATCTAGGAAATAGAAATCCCATTTCCAAATCTTACAATGGATGACTTGTTTATTCATGTAAACACGAAAATATGATACAAAAAGCATACAACAAGATATAGAAAAACAGAGATACATATTATAGCACAAGGCCTGATCCTTTGAGCTTCTCTTCCACAATGCAATTTAGCTTTCTCCCCATCTCCTCTCTCATGTGATTCACCCAGTCACCCACCTTTCCTTTCCTAAAATATGATGACTTCTCAATAACTATGTTGCCAAGCCGAGCAAATTCTCCTGTTTGGTTTGTAGACAAGCTACTAAGCTTCTCGAAGCTGCACAACCTCACCACCTCCTCGGGTATCCCGTCCTCTATTTCCTTAATACTAAATGGAGCACCCAGGAACGTTGCAAGCCTTATGACGTACTTTGTTGGCTCTAAGGTCATATCCTCATACTTGAGGAAAAGAACATTATCAGGTTTTGCAATACTCTCCCTCCAGTACTCGAGACAATGGTTCCAAAAGGGTCCATTGCTCGAGAAACCTTCAGTGAACATGTCGAATGCTGTTTCCATGTCAACACAGTGTCCCCTATGCATCTTATTATCAAAGTGCCACCGAGACACAAAGGCATCCTTAGGGTCTCGACAGATATACACAAGTCGACAACCACATTTGGCTATGGACTTCGGGAACAATGAAAGAGGCATATGAGTGGCAAGAAGCCTTGGGGATGGGAGGTTCTCCAAATAGGCAAGGTTCTCATGGGTAGGGGCCTCTATGGATGGTACCACCTCTTGAGGATGACGAAAAAGAAGAGGGTGGCTGCCAAAGTCATACCGGAAGCGGTTGATGACTGTAAAGGCGAGGGCTTTCAGCCATGTGGTGCCGCACTTGGGGTTGGTAGCAAGGATGACATCTTCCGGGCGAGGTTTGAAGCCATTTTCGATGCGCAGCCTGCTCTGTACGAAGTACGGGCGGAACCAGTAGTTCTTGTAGAGCACCAGTGGCTCTGACCACCCCTCTCTTGCTGGGAGTTTGGATATAAGACGCGCAGCATGGCTTTCGAATGAAATGGCTTCGATCGGACGAGCTATCTGTGGCACTTCCATCCTGAGCTTGTGACATAGCTCAACAACTACTCTGGAGTTTTTCCAGTCTCCCTCGATGGGAGGTTTGGATGGGCATGCATGCAAGAGGCCAGTGCAGATGGTGCGAATTGAGGTGCGCGCTGCTTGCTCGCGCGGAGCATAAATAGCCCAGGCATCATGCATGTCGCCTTTATCTAATTAAGGTAAGCACCATGCATGCATGCTGTCGAAGACTCGCAACCATGTATTATAATTGATGATTGAAGAGATCGAGCGAGAACAACAGGCAGGCATGCATGACTGTAGTGCACGAGACGTATGTACGTACGTGAGCGAGAGCCAACGCCAACTGGCCAAGACACGACGCACCTCGCCGCTCTCGGTGTGCCGGTGCAGTTGGTGGTTGTTTGGTTGGCGTCAGCGTTCAAAATTTTGGCCAAATTTCGGTGGTGGCCGAAAAAAAAAATCCAAAATTTTGTATGTTGTATATAATTCTAGACTTATATTTTCTATTGTTTATATTACATATTCTTCTATTTAATAGAGGTGTAGTCGTAAATCATACTAATATTTGTTTAGATTTATTTATTTTTAGAAAAAAACATAATTCATGTACTAGTCTCTAAAAAAAATTGCCGAAATGTTTTATGAAATTCGTCAATTTCGGTGATGCCCGAATTTTTGCGGCACCTACCGAAATTAAAAACCTTGGTTGGCGTGTTGGTTGATGAGAAACCGCCACGCACAAGACGCGCCCTACCCGGCCCTCGTGCGTGCGCTGTACACGCGGCTGCATTGCTCGCTTGCTCGCTCTCGGGTGTCTCACGTACGTCTCCTCGCTTCAAATTGGCAAATTCCTTACTACAAGCGATTTGCGTTTTTTGTTTGCAGGTAGCTTACCAATTTGAAAAATCGCACCAAGATTCGAATCAGTTTGGCCGACTTTAAAAATCGGCCTAGTTGACCCTTTTTTAACAATAGCACTAGTGGCTGATTTTTTTTTTGTCCACAGGAGTTTGGGCTTGTCCCCCAAGCGCGAAAAATTTGATAGTGATCTTAAGTGTCTACCCCTCATGATTTAAGACTTTCTTTCCCTTCCTCGATCGATCTCCTGAGTATGTTTCGAGTGTTTTCAGTCGTTTTAAAGGTATGTTGCAAAAGTATATCGGGATGTTGCATACGTTGCAATGGTTGTACACTTATGTTGCAAACGTATGTCCCCAATGTTTCATCTGTTTTTCAGACGTATGTTGCAAGTGTGTTTATCTGAAAGTTACGTATGTTTTACGCATATGTTGCAAATGTTTTATATGGAAGTTGCGTATGTTTGCAAAGGTTTTCAAGTGTTTCATGTGTTTTTGTAAGTGTTTCAGGCGCATGTTTCAAATGTTCCATCTGTCTTTAGACGTATGCTACAAATGTTTCATCTGGATGTTTCGAAAGTATATCGGGTGTTGCACATGTTATAATGGCGCCAGTGGCTGGCGGCCAGCGCCCGTAGGGCTTCCGCTCCTACCTTGCACCTTCCTCGTGCGGCGCTTGCCTCTCTCTCTCCCTCAACTCCTTTCATTCCCTCCATCTCGCTGTGTGTGGTTCGAGCTCACTGAAACCCTACCCGACGAGTACGCAAACGCCCACGGAGGTGGTGGCCCTGGGTGGGCCCACGGCAGTGCGATGCTCGCGTAGTGGCCCCGGAGCAAGCTGAGGTCCGCGCCATCCGCTAGCTACTCGCGGGAAACATGCAACCGCGGGTGTCCGGACACGGGCATCCGCCCGGACGTCCGGTCGCTAGTGACGCCCAGTAAAAAAAGCAAATATTGCATTGCATGCATACACAGTTTTAGTATGCGTACTGGGATGATTTCCTTTCCTGCACTTACTATAAATAAATAATATAGATACTTTTATTATTACTATAGTACAGTAATAGTAAAAAATAAAAAGGAAAGAAGTGAAGGCATGCAACTTTTGCTTGGTGGAAAAAGTCTACATTACCTCCGCAACTTTCGCGAAAAGTCTGCTTTTCTCCTAAACTCTAAAACCGAACAAAATACCTCCCTCAACTTTTAAAACTGTTCATATTACCTCCCTAGCCCGGTTATAAGCGGGTTTGAAGGCGGTTTTGTCTTTTTTCTTTTTATTTATTTCGCTGAATCTTTGAAAAATCATAGTAAATCACGTAAAAATCATAAAATAGAAAATTCAATTTTGTTGGACTCCACATGAATAGATCTATACAGTGAACATATAATATGGTATGCTTTAGTATAAAGTTTTTGCTGTAGCTTTAGATCCATGCTTTTCTGTAATTAAATGGAATAATTCTTAACTTCAGTTTCTATGGTCCAATTGTGATGAAATTTTTATGGTGGGCTAATTATTGTATGCTTAAACTGTAGTAAAAATTTCATACTTATTAGATCATGTATAGCTTAGTTATAAATTTTATTTAGGTTTATGCTTGTTAAATATAAACAAGAGTTGTTAAGTTTTCTTGAGTGGAAACCGGACAAAAAAAAACCAAACGAATTTCACATACAACTCCACACAAAGACCATCCAAACCTAAGCCGACTAAAACGGAGCATCAAAACGGCCTAGATTTTTTTGCTTATGATTTGGAGATGGTGTTGGATTCTCAGTGCCCCGTTAGGCACTTGGAATCCTAGAAAGTTCAGGTGCCTCCTTCGTTAATTCAGATCTGCTACCGTAAGATTTTTTTTTCCAGTGTCCTACCCACCAGTTATTAGAAAGCCTGTGCACGACCATAACAGCTATAACAGCTACAGTGTATATATACAGGGAGAGTATATTTAGTAGCCAACTACAAAATAAGTTATTCTGTAGCCACCTTTATTTACGATAATTTTATATACTAATTTACGATAATGCCAATACATATTTACGATAATTAGGTTACTATAACACATAGGGATATTTACCATAATGTTATAGTAAACCATTTAGTAAGGAGTTACTATAATCTCGTAAATTAACATATTAATTATCGTAACTTAAAGTGGCTACAGAATAAATTATTTTGTAGCTAGCTACAGGGTAGGGCGTATTTGCCTCGTATCTGAGATGAATATTTTGGTTTGGGGAAGATCGAGTGTCCTTCCCTCATCATCATCTCCAATCTAAATAAACAACATCAACAAAAAAAGTATCATTCCATTCTATCCCGTCCGCCCACTTATCCAAAGACATGCTTAGTTGGTTAATGTGCTAGCTTTTGAACGCTTCAAGTTGGTTGTACCGTTTCCCATCTATATTAGCCAGAAAGTAGCCGAAATTTCATTTCCAAAAAATCTTGTTTATTCATGCAAAGATGCAAATGGGATGTACAAAAGCATAAAAGAAGATACTCCGATCCATAGGAGAACCTGATCCAACAACATACTAAAGGATTAGGCCAGATCCTTTAAGTTTTTCTTTCACAATGCGATCTAACTTCCTCCCCAATCACCCACCTTTCCTTTCCTAAAGTATGCTGAATTCTCAATAACCATGTTGCCGTGTCTAAAGAACTCTCCTGTTTTGTTGACATACAGGCTACTAAGCATCTCAAAGTTGCACAACCTAACCATCTCCTCAGGTACCCCGTCCTCTTCTTCCTTGGTACAAAATGGGACACCAATGAATGCTGCGATCTTCATGACATATTTCACAGGATCTGACAGCATTTCTTCATACTTTAAGAAGAGTGCCCTATCGGGCATCGCAATGCTCTCCCTCCAGTACTCAAGACAATGATCCCAAAAAGGCCCATAGCCAGAGAAACCTTCGGATAACATGTTGAAAGCTGTTTTCAAATCAACACTACGTCCTCTATGAACCTTATTATCATAGCACCACCGAGACACGAATGCATCCTTAGGGTCTCGACAGATGTACACAACCCGACAACCACAACCACTAGTTATGGACTTTGGAAACAACGAAAGGGGCAAATGGGTGGCGAGGAGCCTTGGGGATGGTAGCGTCTCTAGGTATGCGAAGTCCATATTTCGAGGGATCTCTATGAATGGCACCACCTCCTAGGGATGGCGGAAGAGAAGAGGGTGGTTGTCAAAATCATACTGGAAGCGGTTGGTGATCATGGCGGCGAGGGCCTTCAGCCATGTGGTGCCGCACTTGGGGTTGCTAGCGAGGATGATGTCATCGTGGCGAGGTTTGAAGCTATTTTGGAGGCGCAGTACGCTCTCCACGAAGTAGGGACGGAGCCAGTAGTTCTTGTAGAGCACCATCAGCTCCGACCACCCCTCTCTTGATGGGAGTTTCGATATCAGATCAGCAGTGCCACACTGGGGGTTCACTATCGAGGCGCCCTCTTTGCCGAGGGCCCGGGGCACTCGGCAAGGCCCAAAACCCTCGGCAAAGGCTTTGCCGAAGCCGCCGCTCGGCAAAGTGCCCTCGGAAAAAAATTTAACGGCAAAGAGGCTCTTTGACGAGGGTCATTTGTCGGGCACTCGGCAAAAGCCTTTTCCCGAAAAGCCAACGGCGACACTTGGCAAAAAGCGGCCAAATCAACGGCTGCTGCTCGTTAACGGTGCCTTTGCCGAGTGCCGGCGCTTAGGGCACTCTCGGCAAAGACATTTTTTTTTCAAAAACTCTTTGCCGAGTGCCACGGCGGCGCGCACTCGGCAAAACCATTTTTTAATTTTTTTAAAAAGCTCTTTGCCGAGTGCCTCCCCAGCTTGGCACTCGGCAAAGATTTTTTGTTTTTTTTAAAAAAAAATCTTTGCCGAGTGCAATGTCCTAGCACTCGGCAAAGTTTTCCAGCTTTGCCGAGTGCCATGACCATTGCACTCGGCAAATCAACCGAAATTGTAATTTTTTTTTGTTTTTTGCATTCCACTGACACAAACAGTTCAAATATATATCACATGTCACATATATATCACAAACATCACAATAATCACATATATATCACAACGAAACCATTTTCACACATTATATCACAACCACAATTCAAATAACAACATATCGCAACCACAAGTCAAATATCACAACCACAAGTCACAAATTCACAACCACAGTCCATCAAGTCCAAGCACAAGTCACAACCACAAGTGAAGCTCAAGTCCAAGCACATGACGAAGCACAACTCCTCAAAAAAGCGGCCTATGACACGATGGTGAAGCAAAGGCTCCATCATTCGGTGACGCATGAGCGGGGTTATTCAATCCCGCCGACGGAAGCTGCAAAAAGAATAAGAGGTTGCATGTGTGAGATTCATCTAGTAAGTTTCTATGTGAAGCATTGGTGTATGTCATAGCTAGTGCAAGCATCTAGTAAGTTTCTATGTCAAGCATCTAGTAAATTGAGAATGTCAAGCATGGTTGTATGTCATAGCTAGTGCAAGCATGTAGTAAGTTTCTATGTCAAGCATCTAGTAAGTTCTATGTCAAGCATGGTTGTATGTCAAGGAAGCATCTAGTAAGAGTGAACTTTCATACTTACAGGAATGGCTGTAGAAGTAGGCGGTGGAGGAGCTGCCAACGGCAAAGGTACACCCCTTGCTGGACACTCCGCATGAAGGCCTCCATTTCTTGCATCCTCCTCTCCTGGGCCGCGAACGCTTCCCTCTGGGCCTACAGCTGCGCGCTCTGAGCCTCGACCATGAGCTTCTGGGCCTGCAGCTCGGCCTGCAATACAAACTTCAATGTTTCAGTAATGCAAATGTAACTTAGGTGTGCAAGGATGAATGTACGACGAGTAAAACATGACGTACCTCGAGAGCGTCGACCCGTTGCAGTGACGGAGTAGGCCGTGGGCGTATGGGCTGGCTGGAGCTCATGCTCCGTGCTCGGAGCACGTCGAGAGAGGGAACAGTGGTGGAGTCGATGGCGCCGTCTGCAATCCATAGCCACCCATGCTTCTTGCCTCCTCCTAGTCTCATGATGGTCTTTGCATCAATGGGCTCAGTGCGCACATCGTAATTTTCCCCATGGACCTCCCTCACCTTTGAGGTGTACTCTTGGACCTTAGTGTGCACGGTCGGGTCGGAGTACACCTCGCGCGGGGCAGACGGGTCAAAGGAGACAGAGGAAGACGCCCTGCCCATGTGGGACATAGCCCACGCAGAGAACTCTGAGACCTCCACGCCCGGGTGTGCAGCCTCCTGCGAGTAAGACGGCAAGATGGTGAGAAATAAGGCGAACTCAACACAAATAAGATAAAAGAAATCACTTACATATGCTTGTTTGTAGGCGGGAGGCTGCGGTCGCTTTGATGGTGAGTAGCACCTCGCCTCGAGATGCTTTGGTCCCACGCCTCGCGTGGTTCTCAAAGAAAGTCGTTGGACAACCACCTATCCACGATCATCTCCCAAAGACACGGAGGGATCGGCACCACCAAGGAATCACCTACAAGTCATCGATTATTTGACATAGAAAAGATAAAATTAAATCGACTTAATCTCAAAACGAATCATTATTAATGTTTTTCGCCTACCTCAAGGTATCGGGGCCGGACAGCTCCACTGCCTTGCATCAGCTTGCCGATGGATCGCTTCAACACCACGGGCGTAGTAGTCTCTCGTGGGACTGCACGCGCGCCTCGTGGTGCATGTCGGTGACGATACTTCCCTCTGGTGCGCGGCACTTACCGATCCGCCTCGGCCTCAAGTCCTTCTTCCGCTTGAAATACCTCTCATACAAAACCGATGTATCCATTCATTATTTCAATAAAAGACTTACCCAATGAAAATGTTGTGCGAGAGAGACTTACCCAAAACTCCGCCAGTACCCGCTCCTGCTTGTTGCGGTACCTGTCGTTAGAGGCCAACTGGTACCTGTCCCCACGTGTAGGCCGGCTCCCGCATGTCCTCGAACACGTTCACAAGGCCGGGGTACCATTTCCTGCACAAAACACCAAGGATGCTCGCAGGGGAGCGTGCAGAAGTACCCGACAAAACCAACTAGGCCCTGCACAAGTGATTAAGAAAATTTATCAGTTCCTCTTTTGATTTCCAACATTATCATATGAAGTAGTTGTGATAACATCTATAGTTACTTACCTCTTTGCCATAGGGCTAATCGGTGCCCTGCCAGAGGAAGCGAAGGCTGAGGAGGCTCATGGGACCTCACCGGTAGACAGTCGAGGTAGCGGAACTATCGCCCTCGGCGGCCTTGTCCTCGCCTGCCTCGTCCTCGGTCTATCGGACGTCCTCGTCCTCGACTTTGTCCTCGGGCGTGGCCGTCACGTGCTCCTCCTCCATCACCTCATCTGAAGGTGGCGGGGAAGGAGTCCGCTTCCTCCTCCTGACCCTGGTCCTCCTCTGACCTCCTGTGGACGCTACCCCTAACCCCGACCTCTCGTCTAAAACGGGAGGGCGTGGTCTCCCATAAAGGGAGGCCGTCTCACGTCGTGGACGGTGCTCACCATCACCGCAATCACAAAGAATGAACAAGACTTATTAGTATATATATTAGAAATAGATTCAAAATAAATAAATAAAACACAAACTAAAACAAACGTAGTATTACATGTATTAGGAATAATCTTCATGATTAGGATCATAGGTGTCATCATCACTTTGCCAAAATTGTCCAAATGGGCAACACTATCTCAAGGTTCTATGTTGTCTTCGTCGTCATTGACTAGCCTTAATCGGTCAAGCATTTCTATGTCCTTGGCATTTTGCACCACATCTCCATCAACCTCGTCATCCTCCGGTTCATTGTCTACTTCCATTTCAATTGCTTCGGTAAGACTATCTCAAACGTGCTTCGGTAGCCCATCTTCTTGATAGAACTGCCCATCATATGTGTTTGCGTTGAAGTTGTAATCGCCATCGTTTGGGGGGTGTAGTTTACCGTGTGGAGACACCTGTGCACAATAGCCCAACCCTTAAGATCCGCTTTGTCTTGGTTGGCATATCGCGTATAGTACACCGCATGGCCTATTGAGCCACAATGTAGACATCTTTTCCTAGATAGATTTTAATCTTCTCGAATCTCGACTAGCCCAAGATGAGGGGTTCGTCTCGTTTCTCGAGATTAAACCAAAGGGCATTTGAACACGACAGTTTTTATGTTTGTGACCATGAAATGAGAGTTCATAGATTTCCTCAACTCTACCATGATAGTCGAGGCTATCGCTGGGCGGCAAACTCCGCTATTTGTGGTTTTCCGTTTGGGCGAGTCTGCTCATATCTTATTGTGTGGAAGCGATATCCGTTCACGCCATAACCGTAAATGATCGCACCCTAACGCCATAGCCGCCGCAACTCCGTCTCTCAACTCCTCACTCATGGACGAGTCGGGCCTGGGGCCGCAAGCTCAAGCATGATAGGTCGTTATATTAATCAAACAAACGAGAAACTTGGAATATGGAACGGGAGCTAAATTGGACATTACCTTTTGTTTGAAGCAAGAAATGAAATCAGGCCTCCCCGCACCCGCACCCTGAGAAAGAAGGGTGTCATGTTCCTACGAGGTAGGATCCCTTGATTGATGCCAGGACTCACGAACAAATTCCCTATCCGAACAAGAATCAGTGGGGTTGCATGAAGAATATTCAGGGCGTACTGAAACAAGTTCGTTGAGAACTTACTCGACGAAAGGCTGCACCTCGGGAAGGTTGGTCAACACATATAGCATGACACTTCGCCACTCTTCATTTCCCAATATCTTATTGGTCGATCCACTTGCGCTGCCGAGTTGGCCTTGGAACAGGCTGTGGGTCCATTCATTTTCGCCAACATTGTAACGAGGGAGTGGATTATGATTGCTAGGAAGTTTCGGCTTGTAGTATAGTGTTGTGAAGTTTGCCACCTCCTCCCTTAGACCTGCCTCTGCAATGGAAGCCTCAATTCTGGTTTTATTTGTACATTTTTTGCGAAGAGTCTTTAGACATCTCTCGATTGGATAGCACCACCGAGCTTGTACGGGCCCCCCCAAACGTGCCTCGGACGAGAGGTGCACAATCAGATGCTGCATGGGTAAGAAGAAGCCGGGTGGAAAGATCTTCTCCAGCTTATAGAGCAACACAGGTGCTG